CTTCTTTCTCTCTCCACCTGCTGCACTTTGAAGAGAAGACATGGTCGAAGGGTGGAATTCTGAGCCCTCATCAGCCTCCTCTCCACTGTCTGTCTCTCAGCTCGCTGCTTTCCAAAGTACAACATCTGCTGTGCATGTTGCAACACTGCAGTGGGTGGTTGCTTTTCCTTGCACCCCCTCCCCCTATTTTCTCCCTTTCCCCCTCCTCCTGCTTCAATACTCTCAGTTCTCTAAAAAGTAGAGGTTGGCCTTTAAGTGTTATTACAGAGAAGAGCCTTACTTTCTATCTCCCTCCTCTCTTCTGTGATTGAAGCTCCAACTGGAGTAAAGACTTGTTGATCTCTCGACTTGTCTTTCCTCACCTCTCTCCCTCATTCTCTCACCTCTCTCTGTTCTCCAAATTGTCTGTTGCACAATGTTGGCCCTGTATCCATCTCTCCCCTTCCCATTTTTAATTCTGTCTCTGTATCACTTCACTTTCGAGTGTTGAAGTCTTATCGCTCTCATTGCCCTTGTTTCTAATTCTCCAACTCTCCCATCGCTCCTTCATTCCATCTTTACCACTCTCTCCTCTCTTTTCTCCAATATACCAAGTCTGTTGTGTGATGTCAGACTACAGAGGAACTTCAGAAAGTTGGAGCAAAAATTTCAGCTCATCAGGCTTCAAGTTTGGGGCATTTTTTTTCATCATGTCAAATAAAAAAAAAGTTTTATTATAGCCCAGTAATGGCCCCGTCTTTATACTCAAACTAGCTGCCGTGCATGCTCCTTTTCACTCCTGACAATGTTTTGAACCATGGTTTTGAGCCAACACGGTCAAAAGAAATCATTAATACAAAAATCCCATATTTATAATGTCAGTCCTTTTTTACAGTGTCAGTTTTTCCCACCACCAGCTTTCTCACTCCCCCTTTTTTTCTTTACAAAATACAGGGTCTGTGGATCTTGTGTTATACTGGACCAATGCACCACAGAGTAGGAAGTCTCTCTTTTCAAAATATCATTAAAAGACAGCCTGACTCACCAGCCAGTTAGGCCATCAAGTCGCACAAAATGGATGATTAAAAAGCTGAGACAGTTTTCCTTAAATGTCGACATGTTGACGCACTTTAGCCCATCAGACTCTGAGGTTTGTTTTTGTCCTCTGTTTTCATTTCCTGCACTTATTGAGCCATTTTGGCACCATGCAATATTACAGTAACACGCTGTTTGCTATCTGGGCCCCCTAATGTCTTTGTTTGGGGCTTTTTCTCTTAAACAAAGCTTTTGATCCAGTGCGAATGAAGTAATTATTAGTGCCTTACTCAACAAAGGTGCAGTAGCAAACAGCTTTATTACAAACTTGCCTCCTCAGAAGTACATTAAATTAACAAATATGTTCTGTAGGAGACATAATGCCTTGGATTATGTTTTTTAATCAACATATCTCATCTTGCCAGATGTTTAAAAGGTGTAAATGCATCCGTCTCTTCATACATAATCTTTACACCCTTGTGTAACTACTTTAGCAAGTGCTCTGTGAATGTAACCACTGTCGGTCCCCTGTGACAACAAAAGTTAAAGTTATGCTAAAGTTAACATCACTCTCCCTGTCCCTTGAGATAGGGAGAAAGGTAGCTTCAGCAATTTCAGCATTTATGGCCATACAGATGGCAGACCAAGAACTTACAGTACAGTATGTGATTCCTGACTGGTTCACCCACTTAATGATTTGTATGGATATGGCAGTGACGTGACGGGAAATCCATAGGGATGCATATATGTGGCTAAGTGTAAACAAAGAGCATTAAATTGCATCTGGATGTACACTGATCAGCCATAACATTACGACCACCTGCCTAATACTGTGTATATAGGTGCCAATGCAGCAGTTGGTTGGTGCATCTTGTGTCAATCTATTTGGCTCCATAGTTTTACTGTTAGGAGGAGCATGAATTGTTTGACCATTCAGTGAAAAACTGATATAAATGGAGTGAAAACTGTGGTCGTGAGGACAAGTTAGAGCTCATTTTTCAGACAAATCTAACAGCCTCCGCGCTATAGGTGTGATATCACCACTATAGCTGCTGAATGTTTCTCTTCATAGAGACCAGTGTGCAGTATTTCTCATTTTCGACCGTTTCATCACTGAGCCTTGGGCAACCACAACTCTGTCACCGGTTCACTGCTTGTCCTTCCTTAGACACTGTTGGTTGCTACTAACCACTGCAGACCATGAACACCCAACAGGACCTGCAGTCTGGGAGACGCTCTGACCCAGTCGTCAGCCATCACAGTTGGCTTTTGTCAAAGTCACTCAGATCCTGACGCTTGTTTGTTTTTCCTACTTCCAACACATCAACTTTGAGGACTGAATGTTCACTTGCTGCCTAATATACCCCACACACTGACAGGTGCCAGTGTAACAAGAATTCAGTGTTATTCCCTTGTCAGTGGTCACAATGTTATGGTTGATCAGTGTATATGATGGACTATTACCCTTGAAATGACAAGTGCAAATGGGGCCATAATGAACATATTCTGAAAATATCTGCAGTGCTG